GGTTACAAAGGTATTTATAAATGTAAGGTATTATGTGTAGAAAAATAGACCAGTTTGAATGTTAGGAGCTTATAGTTTTACTAAAGTTTCAGATAGCCACACATGCACGTGTGAGTGCACACACAAGATATCCCACAAATAAAATGAAATGTTGCTGGATTTCCTATCTTTATTAATTCTTATATGTATCAATGTGTGGAAAAAATTATCAACTTTGCTGATTGGATACCCCCATACTTGAATGCTATCATGGGGGAGACAGTTATTCCATTTGACAATGTGTTTTAAATCATATTAACCTACATCATTATTGTTATCTTATATTTTAAATTATTGAAAGATGATAAGTACATCTCTGTATAGTGTGAAGTATATCATTATACAAAAACAGTCAATACCAAGTGTCTTGGATAGTGAGAATAACTTTCTGAATGGTAATAGACATGATCAGAAGCAATACAAAGTTGATATTCAATTAGAAAAGTCAGGCAACAGTTCTTACCATCCCCACTGCAAATTCCTACACAGAATGGTATGCATTTTAGCTAGCAAAACATTATTTACCAGTCCTTGAAACCGTACCAGTCGGGAATACTACACTTGTTGCATTACTGAGTGCTCTGACATTTGGTCGTCGTTTTGAATATGAACTAACCAACACTTTTGGCAATACTGCAAACTTAAATTTTACAAATGAGACACATAGCTTAAATGTGACTTTGCTGCTGTTGTGAGCAATCTTGTAGATGCCTTTACTCCAAGTGACATAAAGAAAGTTTAAATTTAAAAAGTTAAAGTAGACAAATGGTAAGACTACTGAGATGATGTAACTGTATGGCAAAGTTTTCATCATTTATTGGTTTGCCGATACCACCTCAGTACTATTGCTCATGTTTTTGACGAAGTTATGCTATATAAAGCACAGCTCTATCAAATTCGAGAGAGTTAGTAGAAAAATATTTTTCATCAAAGATGGAATTGATGAGTACAAATTCTGTGGAAACTGATAACCTTCAGAAATGGCACTCTACAATTTTAGGTTTTAAGAAAAACAAGAGTTATTGTAATTTATCCTTGGCTGTTTTAATGAATTATACAAACAGTTTAACTTTGGGGATTCTGCACATACTATTTGCATCTTGTTGAAGAAGCTCTCAGCAAAGAGACTTTGGCTAAGATGTAAAGCAGCCCTCTGAATGAATCATACCACCTGCAAAGAGCTGTACTAAATACATTCATATATAGGACAAAAGCTTCAAGTTTTTTCTAGCATTTACATTATCGATACAAATCAACATACAGATCAGAGAGTTTTAAACATAACAGATGCACAAGGGAATGGGCATAAAGGAAGGGTGACAATGGAGCAGCTTCAGGCCCACTGTCTGGCACAGCAGGGTTGCATATTTCCTATGTCAACTGAAGAACCTAAAACATACCTCTATTTAATCCATCCTGCCAAGTACTGCACCAAGAAAGCTACTTGCAAAGTGAGGCTTCTCCAGCAGTACAAAAATCTGGGGAGCAGTAGGAATGGTGGAAGATGATGGCTCAAACCTAAATATCATCCTAGGTGTGCACTTGATCCACAAGAGACCTGCAGTCCTGCCATGCCAAACAGTAGGTGGACAGGCTCCTCCACTGCCCCTCTCTTCTCAGACCCCTGTCCTCTATTTCCTTAGCCCTGCTTCTCTCAAATTATGCTTTCCCCTGTTAACCCATCTACAGGCATATCTTATCAAGTCTGCAGGCCAAACCCTTGTCCAATGGGAAAGAAGCCTGGAGTGCAAAATGTATGAAGGCACTCACTCAGGGTTGGGCAAGTGCTTCTTTAACTTTGGACCCTACACCCCTCATTTGCCTCACCAGAGTCCCAGGTGTTAGAGGTAGAGCATGGGATAGCTGGGTAACTTAGAATCTACTCCTTAAGCTCTGCAGGAATTTGACCAGCCTCAACAACTAGCACCTTATTGCTGGTTTAATAAACATATATCGCATACTCGTTCCCCTCTGTCTTTGGCTTTGGCCTACAATTCCAGGAAACAGAAAAAATATCCTGCAATATCCTGTTACATACAGAACAACAGAGAGACTTTACTCCCAGTTTTTCACTGTGAAACACAGTTCAGTGACTTATCTCATGTGCACACTGTTTTACTTCATTTAAATTATCTCTGCATGTTTAGTATCAGCAATAAGATTATCAGCAATAATCTATCAGTAATTTGGGGGGAGGCATTGGATACTGTCAAGGTTCTATTTAAAATAATGTTACCAGTTGTCACTATGAACTTGCAAGGTTGTTGTCATTTCCCCACAACCAGACACACATATAGGTATTCGTGTTTTTGTTATACAAATCCCATTGTTATACAGTAAGTTTTTTTTTTTCTTCTTTTTCTTAACTGTGGAATATTTTACATGTTTATGCTGGTTGTTTCATCTTTTGACTTATTTCTAGAGGGCAGTTTCATTTTTCATCTAGTTTGTATGTTTGAATATTCTGGGATCCTGGACGAATACTAGCAAATTACCTCATGTTAACTAAATTCTCAGTTTTGTTTTCTCTCTTGTCTTTTTTAAAAAAAGTCTTTAGATTTCATCACTATGCTATTCCTTTGTTAAAAATAATTTTTCTGCTTATTTTCCACATTCATACCTATGCTGAAATTCAGCAAGTTGTATAAAGAATTAAAATTGGAATATGTGAATTATTTTTTAATGAACGAATTTTATAACTGACCAGTATCTCCATCATGCCAATATATAAGGTTATAAAGTTTTAAAATGCATATAAGATAAAAGAATATTAGCTAATAGGAGCAAAAATATTTTCACATATTATAAATTTCCCAAAGTGAGACTCAATATTAGTTTTTCAACCAAAAATTTATGATTACTGTTGACAAACTACAGATTTAAGTACAATGAGAAAAAAGTTAAATAGCAAATGTGAACAATTTAACTCTTAAAATTATTGCACCTGTTTTCAAGGTTATTACAATGCTATATATAAATTTAATTCTTAATTTTAATATTCTGGGTTTTTTTTTGTTTTTTTTTTTGAGACGGAGTCTCACTCTGTCGCCCAGGCTGGAGTGCAGTGGCCAGATCTCAGCTCACTGCAAGCTCCGCCTCCTGGGTTTACGCAATTCTCCTGCCTCAGCCTCCAGAGTAGCTGGGACTACAGGCGCCCATCACCTCGCCCGGCTAGTTTTTCGTATTTTTTAGTAGAGACGGGGTTTCACCATGTTAGCCAGGATGGTCTCGATCTATATTCTGCTTTTTTATATTTCTGTGTAGATATGTGAATTTCTTTTGGAGGAATAGAAACACTGTAACCCAACTTCAAAAGACAATAATAATGAACAAGTCCAAATCCTAAAACATGATGATCAAAGATAAAAGAACAGATATGAGTAAAGATTCCAATAACTTGGTTTCCTGGAATCATGACCCATTTTAACATGATTTATGCCCAAATATGTGTGTCATCAAGATGTCAAGAAATATGAAACAAGATAGTTAAATACCATCAAAGATGTAATTAGTCATTTGGATATACACTAAAAAGTTTTAGAATAATTATTCAATAGTTCTTCATAAAATATCTTCACATTTTTTAAATTTAAAAGGTAAATTTTACTAAATTTGAGAGTTGGTATGCTCTCAAATACTTGAAAGTATACAATATTAGTATACTTCATTAAAACCAATTTAATAAATTTATTATAATTAGCATTACCAGTTTTCTTTCTTAATTGGGAAGGAATGAACATAAAATAAAGTGGCTAAGATTTACAGATTCACGTAACAATGGTATTTATAACCTTATTTATGTTTTGTAAAGTTCTGCATGACTATTAACAGGTAAATCAAATTAAAATTTATCTTGAGTGGTACTAAATATGATTAAATCAAAAGTCAGTAAGCATTCTTGAATATGTCAAATCAACTAATTGTCTTTCAACTGAAGGTAATAATTGACTTTTCAAACTGATTTAGACAACAAATAATAGAATTCCCAATGAATAAACCAACCCTTTGGTAATATTTGATATTTCATACCAGTTGTGCTTTATTCAAGATTTTACTTCTACCTAAAAATACTAAAGAATGAATGATGTATATTTTTGGTGTACAGAGATTGTTTAAATTAAATTATATGAAATACATTGCTTAGATTCTAAGATCCATAAGCTTTCTGCACTGTTTTTTAATTGAAAGCCCCTGTAAAGAATTCCAGAAACCCATGTTACATTTTTGTTTGAATCTTTTATTTTCCAAAGTACTTCCAAGTACCTTACCTGCATTGATACTCATGTCTACTCTATGAAATAGAAAAGGCCAAAGTCATCTGTTTGTTTTTGTCTTCTCATGAGAAACTGAGCTTATCTTACATATCCAGTCTTCATCTTATGATACCCTACTTTGAATCCCACAAAGCATAGAATATAGCATGCCATTAGCTTATTTTATATTAAAATGTTCGTGATGTTGATATCGTGATGTCCCTTACTTTCTAAATATATTTCCATCATCCCTCAAATCCCAAAATATTAGCAATTGACTTTTTAGTTATTTGATAACACTGTTCCTGCTCCCCTGTGTCGGGGATGATAGTGCCACAAGGAGCGAAACCACTGTCCCAAATGTCATAGTTAAATTTAATTCCAATTATCTAATTTATTCTCTAATCAAATATCTAATAGATAGTAATAAACGTTAATTACAAAAGGAACAAGCCAAATGTTCTCATTTAGTTTACATTTTATAATGCAGCTATTACAGCTGATCTTCATCTCCCCCCCAAAAAGACTTTTTTTTTTTCTTTTCTTGACTTCTAAACCTGATTATTTTATTTCAAAAGTGGTTAGTGGTCAGAGAGGGGAAAAGAAAGGTAACAATTGTTTCAGTAGATCAGCCAGGGTATATTATGGCTGGGAAAATTTCAGGAGAATAGAAAAGAAATAATTTGTTTCACTCTTTTCTTTTCTAAGGAGGAGTTTAGGGGAGAATGAATTGGACTGTGAGCCTTTCATGAACTTCTCAAAAGAACAGGAACATGAGGAGGCAAGATGGTGATGCAAACCCACATTTCAGTCTACCACAATACGGTAAGCATTCCCAGCTTTAAACCATGAAGAAAAATAAATTGACAATTAGTGAAAAAAAAAAGTGGTAAATCAAAGAACATAATGCAAAATGGACTCTGGAGGGATGAAAGTCCATATGGGTCCTGCTTCCAGGAAAGGCCAGTGCCACAGATCATTGGTTCACTAATGGCCAATAGTGTTTCAAGGTGAAAGGAAGGATGGGTCCGGGAGCCTATAGGAAGAAAATAGGGTGGAGACTTGGAAATGGTGTTAAGAGAATATTTGGGCAAGTGAACATAAATCAAAGAAAAAATGAATTAAGAAAAATGCTTATAGAAAATGAAAGGTAGACATAAAATGCTAAATCAGATAAAAACCTGCAGATTTTATATTTAGCTATCTTCTCTATAATAATGATTTTGAAAATTTAATGTTTTCTTTTATATGATTTGGCAGGGTGATAATTATCCTCAGTGAGATGACAGACTAGTTTTAACTCTTACATCTCCATGTTTCAGAGTTTATTTGAGGCAAAGTATGATTTTTAAGAACAGCTACTGCTTATTTTGCTCAGGTTGCTTACTGCCCAGTATGATGGGACCATTCATAGCTTATCCATGTGATACATAACCTGCACAACCCATACGTGTTGCCTCCAATTATATGTGTACACAAGAAATGAAACAACATAATAAATGTTACTCTTGGGAACAGCAATGGATTAGGAGCCCTAATATCTTCATTCAGGTCACAGATCTGCTCGCTCCTAGCTGGATAATACTATTCATATCAATTAGCCTCTCTGAATCCAGAGTGCTTGTTAGGGAAATGGTGACAATGATATTTACCTTCCCAATCTTACACAGTTTTCTGGGTTAGTCAAAGAATGTTTTGTAAAATTTTAAGTTTTATATAAATGCACATTATTATTTAGAAGATTAATGCAACCATAGGATAGTCACTTGTCACATATATGGATTTTACTATTTTTAAGAGACAGCATGACATATGTCACGTAAGCTACTGCCACAAAGCTAAAAGTATATATTTAATAAATGATTTTTTAATTAAATGGTTGACAGTAATGTACTGTCTATTGCAAATGTTGTAAGTTTATAGTAATTTATAATTCTACACATTAGATTTTGAAAATCTCAATGGTACCCATTCTCCTTAGTATTCTTTTTTAAAAGTTTTTATTTTCCAAGTACACTGATTCTCAATTATGATGGAAAATATCAACAGTTACTGATTCAAGACCCACTTGCCCCTGCAAAGCCTACTTTGTAGCTCATCTTCCTTTTCAAGACCTCTAGATGTTGGAACACTTTAGGAATACATCTTCAGCCCTCTTCCCTTCTTTATCCATATCTCCACTCAGGTTTTCTCAACGGGTCCCATATATATATTTTCTGAGACATGGTCTCATGCTTTCACCCAGGCTGGGGTGCAGTGGCACAGTCACAGCTCACTAAAGCTTCCACCTCCCAGGATCAAGTTATTCTCCCACCTCAGCCTCCCTAGTAGCTGGGACTACAGGCATCAGGTGTGTACCGCTATGCCCGGCCAAGGCTGGTCTCGAACTCCTGAGCTCTAGTGATCCATCCCCCTCAGTCTCCCAAAGTGCTGGCATTACAGGTTTAAAAAAAAAAAAAACAACAAAAAAAAAACAGGCCAGGCACGGTGAGATTACACCTGCAATCTCAGCACTTTTGGGAGGCCGATATGGGTGGATCACAAGGTCAAGAGATGGAGACCATCCTGGCTAACATGGTGAAACCCTGTCCTACTAAAAATACAAAAATTAGCTGGGCATGGTGGTGTGCCTGTATTCCAGCTACTCAGGAGGCTGAGGCAGGAGAATCACTTGAACCCAGGAGGCAGAGGTTGCAGTGAGCCAAGATCGCGCCACAGCACTCCAGTCTGGCGACAGGGTGAGACTCTGTCTCCAAAATAAAAAAAAAAAAAAAAAAAAAAAAAAAAGCTAAAATATGCAAAAGTCTCCCAGATATTTATCTAGCCCTGAATCCCCTATGATTTCTTACTTAGATATCAAAGAGCTATAAATCTCTCCTTGTATGTCTACTTAATGTTGCAAAATAGATATCTACTAAATTAACTTTTTGATGTTCCATCTAAACTTGTTCCTCCCCAAATCTTTCCTATTATAGTCCTACTATACCCTTGGTTGCTTAGACCAAAAATTTGGGGGTCTTACCTATGTCCAACCCATCAGCAAATCCTATGTGTCCTACTCCAATACATACCCCTAATGATGCCCTTTAAAATGCTACGTGATTGGATCCCTGGCCAGTATTTCAAGCTTGTTTACATAAAACAGGCCTTTTTACTTATCACTCTTCATAGCACATTATCCCTCCTAGAAATTTTATTTCTCTGTTAATTTACGTTTCTCTCTCTATTAGGAAAATATTTTTTTTCAGTTTTATTCTTAAGTCAATATATTGAACTGGAATAGTGCCTAGCATAATTATGGTAGGCACTCAATAAACCTTGCGAATGAATGAATGAGTTGATAGCTGTAATATGAATCCCTGAATGAAACAGGCCTAGAACTGATGGGAATGAGATTGACAGCTGCACATGACCATCAGCGTCCTGAACTGGGACATGTGTATAGGTGTATTTTCATATGCACATTATTTCTTTATGAAATACATTCTTGGCATTACTTTTGACTTCAGAGTCAAAAATGTCAAATTATTTCAAATAAATAGTAAAATTCTGTTTTCAACTCAAGATAATTCTATAAGTATGAAAGCTCCCAAAACAAGGCAAAAGAAACTGTTTTTGATTCTATTTTGAATTTTTCATGTTTCCAGCCACCCCTCTCTAGCTTCTGAATTTTTACACTGATGAACAGATTTTGTGTCTTTCTTCCCATAACTAAAAATGATGTTCAGACTTGATAATAGTGATTATAAGAAGTATTATTATGCCAATTATTTCAAATTGTGCAATAGTCAAAGCACATAAAAATATGTCATGGCAATAAATCTGTTTTCCTACTCTTTGTAATGTCTTATTTGCCCTAACAACCTTTCAGACAACAGTTATAATAAGTGGACTCTCAAGCGTGATTTGCATCTCTCCCATCACAAGAGTAGTGTCTGTTTCAGAACTTACAGTTGTGTATGGTATATTTAAACGATCCCAAATAATCGTCCTCAGAGCTGTCCTGACCTCACTGATAATGAGTTTTATAGCCCTTTATATTGTAGTTTGCCTGGGCCTGAAATATATTAATTACCAGACATATATGAAATGTGCGGTTGTAAAATCCCTGACTTCTCTCTCCTGAATCTAATAATCACTAAAATATGTATTGTTGCTTTCATGTCACATTTACCTGGTGCTTGTTTCCCCTTCTATATTCTGTATGTTGTTTGATGGTTCTTTCTCCAGTGTCTCATGCCAGAAGAGACATTCCTTAATGCCTGGCTCTCCTTCATTTCATATATCCAGTTGGTTACTTTGTCTTCTCAATTCATCATACAAAATGGTTCTGGGATTTATGCTCTTTTCATTAGTACCATGGCTGCCTTTAAAAACTAACCCATTTTAGTCTCACAGAGGTGCACTCACCTGGCTTCTAACACTGCCACCACTTTCCCATAAAATCAGAGAGGAATTCGCTTAGAATCATGTCACAAAGCCTTCTCCCTGAAAGCAAAATGGTTGTCTTGTTGCTGTATACCCAACGACAGAGGTACCATTTGAGATAGGAGATTCTACAGAAATAGTGTAAGTTGTGATACCAGACAGACAGGCAGGGTTTTAGATCCCATTTTAGGGGCATACCACCACCTCTATCAGTGGTGTAGTATTGGATAAATTTGCCTCTTTGGAACTTAGTTTAACTGTGTTTTACTTTGAGATAATAATACATATTTCATAGGATTGTTGTGAAGACTAAATAAGATCATGTGTATTAAAAAATATTTGCTGTAATGTATTGAACGCTCACTAGAGGATAATTTCCTTCTTGCATTCTCCTACCACTTCTAGGCACCATCAATGGTACCAGAACCTATCTGCAGAAACTCTGCCTGCTTTCCTAGTTCTCCTGTCCTGCCATCATTTGGCGACCAAGGATATCTTTATTTCTCAAACAGTATTAGAGAACCTGGGTGAGACCATATTCTGTCTCAGGGAACCTGTTTGATCAATACTTCTGCAAATCTTCTTTCTATAATAGCTGGAAACTGTTTCTCTTCATGCCATTTTCTTGCTCATACGTCAGTGATTGATTTCCCCTAGGTTACAAGCAAAAATAAATATTTCATAGCTTTTTTTACTCTACCCTTGCATATTTTTATGAAATCAGCTCTGCTAGTCATTCTTTTTGCCTGCTTGGCTTTCTCATAAAGTCCATGTTCTTTTAATCCTCGGTACTTTCCACAGCCAGCATCTCCAATTAGAAGGCTTTTCCCTGCTTAAATGTGCTGTAAACGCCCATTGTTCTAAGATCAAGTCCTCTACAAAGCATTGCCAATCTTTGCTTTATCTCAGAAAGTAGGTGTTTTCCAGCTTAGTGTTCCTATCCCTGCAGTGCACTTTGATACATCTCTTTAAGCCTCTATCTTGCCATATTGGTACTATCTGTCTTACCCACTATCGTGTAAATTCCTTGAATGGATAACAGTACCACAGCTTCTAGAATGTACTTGAAAGTCCACAAGTAGTAGATAATGGAAGGTGTTGCTGTAAATGTTACTATTTTGGAGACATGGTCTCGCTCTCTCACCCAGGCTAGAGTGCAGTGGTGTGCTTTTGGATCACCGCAACCTCTGCCTCCTGGTCTCAATAGATCCTCTCACCTCAGCCTCCCAAGTAGCTGGGACTACATGCATGGGCCACCATGCCCAGCTAATTTGTGTAGTTTTTGCCATGTTGTCCGGGCTGGTCTCAAACGCCTGAGCTCAAGTCATCTGCCAGCCTCAGCCTCCTAAAGTGTGGGAATTACATGTTTCAGCCACCTCTATCATTATTTTCTTTCT